AGCCATTGTCACAGTTAAAGATGGAAAACTTGTTGAGCATAGCTGACTATGCTCCAATAAATGAATGAATGAATGAATGAATGAATGAATGAATGAATGAATGAAAAAGAAGAAGAAAGAAAGAAAGGGGATTAAAAATAACTTTTCCTATGATTTGCTGCCGCTGTTTCTGGGCTTTCCACTCAGCCCACTTTCTGCTCCCTGCTAGGCACAACAAATGAGGCCTCATGTTCCAGTGGGCCGTGGTAGGTGGGTCTTGATGAATGATATGATGTAAGTGATGGTACTCAGCATACATTCCTCAAAAGGAGAGCCTCGGCCTTACAGAGAGAGCTGAAAGAAGATTGATGAAAAACCCTCCTGTAGATATTCAGGCATTGAATTTCCTTTATGAAAGAGTAATACATTTTTATGATGCCACTATAATTTTATTACACCCACTATAGTTCAAGTCTACTTTCCACAGAACTGAAGCTCATGGGTTTTGCAGCCCTGTGCATGTCAGCTCTGATGGCTGTGCTGAGCAATCCTTAGAAACCATGAAAATCAGTATGAGTTGTTCAAAGCCCTGAAAGTACAGCCAAGTTCAGAAAGTGGGGGCTACTAAGGGCATCACATAGCTCTAATACTTGCAGCAGAGAAGTCCTAGTGTAACAGAAATGAAACAAATTGAAGGCACTGTGATGGCAGGAATGTTTCGGCTACCATCTGCAAAGCTGTGGTATTGTCAGAAGGCTGAAACCAGAGTTACCCAATTTTCCACCTTGTAGGAAATCCTGCTCCTATTTTTTATGCATCCTTTCTATTGATATTACTGTTATTTTATCAGTGCTTGACTTCTTTTTGTCCAAGAGGAAGAACTTTATCATTTTCCTTCTCAGAGAGTGACGAAAAAGGCTGGATCTTATATGTGAAGTGCATCTGTGCACAGGTTCTGCTGAAAGATGAGGGTATCACCATCTGGCTTTCATCACTGTGACTGCACACCGTGCCACAGCTCTGCCTGACACAACCTGTCAGCAACCAAGTGATGCTGTGAGAGCTTTGATAGATGTCTGAACACTCGTGCATTACTCAGCAGAGGCACCCTACTGAACATGAGTTCAGACAGAACTTGAAAAAATATTAGGAGGCCAGGAACGAACATGCTATTTTCAGAGAGGCCTTACCAATACTGGCACTGAAGAAACTGCCTTGTAATTGGATCAGAGGTTGCAGGCCTGGATCTGGTCACACAAGGCTGCACTTTTATGTGTGTAACTCAGGCTACCTGAATCACCACCACTGTAGATATTGCATGAGTAAACTGCAAACACAGAAGATATCTAGTATGAAAATCAAAGCCCTGTCCCTTCACCCTAGTACCTTTTGCCTTCACCTTTCTGTAGGTCTGAGGATTTATTTTCAGTGAGCACTTTTCAGAGGGTGTGAGCTCTGTATGTGAACAGACAGTACTTATGCCTCAGCAGTGATGGCTGAGAAAGTTATGTGTCTGACACCATGCTCCTTACAAAACCCAGAACAACCATATAACATGGCCATCTACACAGGCAGAAGCCCCTCTTGCTAATTATCTGTCACTGAGATGATATACCATATAGGAAAAACAAATCTGTCATTGTTTGCCAAAACCATCACACCCCCTACTTCTGCCCAGACTGGCAGTATCTGATGGTATGTAGCTACTTATTGCCAGATCTTTTAAGTTTAAATGCACACACCACTTGTCTAAATACCTAATGCTCTGCTCCATGAGGAGGCCAGGAGCTGTACTGCATGTTGCCAGGGAGAGAAGGAGCAGAGTGCAGTCAAAAAAGCCGGACACCAAAATTGCTGAGCTCTCAAATATGAGTTTTCCTTAAATCTCAGCTTCTTTCCCCTGAAGCAAGGTCAGTTCCCATGAGCAGATGTTGACAGGTGTACCTTGCCAAGGCCCAGACGCACAGAGACCTCCTTCTATGTGCAGATGAATGGCATCACCTTGTGTCACCGGATTAACTGCTCCCACAGCTAGCAGCATCCTTCCTCATCAACACTGCAGGCTTCTGCCTGCTTTTCCCTGGGTATATATCCAAGGCAGGATTCCCCCCTGTCCTATTCTGCTTGTCATTTTGCATGGGGACAAGAATAATAAAAATTGTTGTACTTGCAAGTACAGAAGAGGCTCTGAGGTGATATAAAGGATTTTATCTCTTCTGTGTACACATAGGATTTTGTCTCTTCTGTGTGTAATTTCTTCACAGCTGTCAGAGGAGCAGCAAAAATGCCATGCACTGCCAGTCTCCAGTGTGTATTATCCCCCAGGTATCTGTTGGAATTTGGCTCCTAGAACAAAATGCCTGCATATAAATAGGCCTATATTCTTAAACATAGCCAAAGGGGTTTTTTATTATTTTTTATTTTTCTCCTTATTATTCTGAGAACTAAGCAATTAGCATAAGATGTAATGTAAACCACTAGGCTACACTAAGAAGAAATGGTGTGACCCTTTCCAAGGATGGCAGCCAAGCCCTGCTTCTCTTTAGAGTGTATCACAAAATAAACCAGCTCCTTCTTCTGTCTTCACCTGTCCATACCTTACTTGTCTTCCTCTTCATCCCAAGTCCTCTGCATTTTCTTGCCACTTGTCACTGGAACTGCAGGGCCTCTGGAATAGTGCCTCTGCCCCTCAGAGGTTGTGCTGAAGGGCAGCAACACCGTGGGCAGTACACACAGGTATTTATTTGGTGGAATCTGCCAGGTGATGGAAATCTATCTGCAGAATATTCCGTGGAACAATTTTCCTCTGTCCCACACCCATGTTGTCACTCAGCTCCTGCTGTCATGCACTGAGGTCCCAACCCCAGCAAAAACATGTTGGTTATTACCTGAATGATTTTTTTTTTTTTAATTTATTTTTCTTCTCCGGTTTTTATAGCTGAATTCACCCTCCTCTAACACAGTCATCACCCTATGAACAGCAGCTCTTCTGTGGGGCTCTGGAACTTCCATGGAGCTGTAAAAGTTTTGTTTTGTTTTTCCATTTGGACTGCTTCTCTTTTACGAGAGTACGAGAGGTTTATTTTCTTTAATGTTCTGCTCTTTTAATTTTAAAGCCTGGTTTTGAATCTTCCAACCTGGGAAACACTTGTCTTAAAATAATTTCATCCTTGGAGGCACATTTAATTTTATTCTAGATCAATCTTAAAATGAAATTTCATGGAGAACAGATGGTGCTATTGAACAGAAGGATGCAGAGCTGATGGAGAAAGTCCAGAGGAAGGCCACAACGGGGACTGGAAGGGTGGAGTACCTCTCCTATGAAGAAGACAGGCTGAAGGATCTGGGCTTGTTCAGTCTGGAGAAGAGAAGGTTCTGGGGAAACTTCATTGAGGTCTTCCAGAGCTTTAAGGGAGCTTACAGGAGGGGAACTGATATTTTTCATGGTCTGATAGTGACAGGACAAGGAGGGATGGTTTTACCCAAAAGAGGGGAGATTTAGCCGAGATGTTAGAAAGAAATTTCACTCAGAGGGTGGTGAGGCCCTGGCACAGAGAAGCTGTGGGTGCCCCACCCCTGCAGGTATTCCAGGCCAAATTGGATGGGCCCTGTTCTAACCTGACCTGCTGGGCACAGCACTCCCATGGCAGGGGCTCAGGGCTGGGTGGGCTTTGAGGTTCTCTTCCAACCCAACCATTCTGTGGTTCTATGATTCTAGGAATTTCACCTGTGCCTCAGAACCATTTTAACCAGACCAGATTCCAGAAAATACTTGACTTCCAAAAGTTCTTAGCTGTTCTTAATTTATATGCTTTAACTCATACTGAAGTGAGATACATAAGCACACAGTTAAAGTCAAGCTTGTTTTTATGCACATTCCTAAGCAGGGAAGGACGTAAGCAATTGTTTATTTTTTCCCCTGTAACATGACCCCAGAGGTAGAGCAGGGCACGGCAGCAGCAGCTATTTCTTGCTGAGCCTATTTGCACTCTGCTAATTGGAATGCTTCACAGGTCCACAGGAACTTCCCACTACGCTGATACTCATACATGAGAACTGTGAGAGGGCAGTGAGTCTTTTCACACAAATGTACCTCAGAATTCCAAGTAAGTTGCATTCATTTGATTAAACAAAGCAGTCAACTTTGCAGAAGACAGTTTATTTAATATATGAGTATTGGTCGCTATGCCTAATTACAGACAAAATACTGTGAATAAAGCATGCACTTACAACAGACATCAATGACTATCTTGATTATCTCTGAAATGATTTTTAATTCTGTAAGTTTAAGGCTGTACCAATGCAAATATTAAAAAACAGAAAGTCACACTACAACAGTAGCAAATGTATGGACAGTGAAATCAACCTCTAACAAAGCAGAACCAGACATTAAAGATTATCACAGGGGGATAAAGACAGAGCTAAAGTGTGATAAAGATCAGAGTGTCTCTGGAAGTTACAGATCGGTGAAAGTGAATACTCCAATTAACACAAGAGTGAACTCATGCTTCACAAAAGCCCAATTATTGGATAAGTGAGCAAGGGATGAAATCCAGACCATTAAAAAAAAAAAAAAAAAAAGACCACTTGATTTTACTGTCTTCTTATTTAATAAACCTATATACTCAATCACCAAAGAAGCATTTTTCAGGGAAGCCAAGGAGACACCTGGCTGAAGTGTGGTGCAACAGATGGCAGTAAAGCATCTCTTTACTCCACCCTCAGAGAAGAGGAGTGGAGCATTTTGCAGTGAGGGAAAAAAGTACAGCTGGCACAAAAGTGTTGTATGACACTGATGATGATATTGTTCTCAAGGATCTTAACCAATTTGAAGTTTGCTTCTTAGAAATCTGCTGCAGAAAGAGCAACATGGCATCCACGTGAGTTAAAACCTATCCAGCCATTCAGTAAAAGGATTGGCAGACCTGGGAACCCAGCTGAGGACCTGGCACTGAAGAAGGCTATGGAATCTTTCCTCATTTACCAGTGAAGACTTCTTCTTCACTTTTTTTTTTTTTTTCCCCAGGTCTCTTCTTTTTTTTCCAGATCCAGAATGAACCAGGTTTGAAGTTGAACAGGTAGCTCTGAAGGTTGACAATTTTCCTGGAATTTCCTGGAATTTTATTGGAAAAAAATCCAGTAAACCTTCTCTCTCTCTCAGGTATTCTGGATTTGCAAAGCCTAATGCATTAAGATGTATTAAAATCTTCCTTCTCCTTAACAAATATACAAATATATAGATTCTGAAATGCAGAAGTAAGATGTCAGTATGAGAAGGTCCCACAGAAAAACTGTATTTTTAGTGTTAGAAATGTATCACTGCTCATGTTAACATCTATGCCTAATATAGTGGATTACAACTGGGGCTTGCAGAGGGGTCCAAAGAAACCTAAATTAGTCTCAAAATTCCAGTGGGGTGTGGATGGATAAATTCTCTCGTCTCCTTTCAGCAGCACAGACAGAAATGCAACAGTTTTATTTTATTATTTAATAATAATAAAAATTAAAAACCTTTTCCTGCACCATAGTGCACTTAGGTCAAAATGCAATTATGAGAGCTTACAACATGTACACAGAAGGCATTACACTGATGGGGCAGTGACATCTAATCCACTACAGCATTAACATCAGCCAATTTGCTTCTTGAAACCAGAGAGCTGTGGTGAAAAATGAACAAATGCCAGAAAAACTGCTGACACACCGCAGGCAGCAGGCTGAAACCTAATGCCACCTCTGCATCTGTAGAACAACAACTGGATTTCCAGCATGCAAAGAGATAACTAAATGGTACTGTTTGCTTTTCTGATTCAAATCTAAGCTGAAGGCAGTGTAGATGCATCTGCAGCCAAAGTGAAGATGGGAATATACTACTGGAGTTCTCCAGGAACCTGACACACCTTTTGGCAGGTTGGGTCAGTGTGTGGGAAGGAGCTATAATCACCAATTACCAATTACAGAATCGCAGAATCACAGGATTATAGGAATTGGAAGGGACTTCTGGAGATCCTCCACTCCAAAGTAGGTTCCCTACAGTAGGTTGCAATAGGTAAGTCAATTTCTGCAATTGGTTGGACTGGAAGACTAAGACCTAGCTAAAAAGAGAAGAAATGCAAGGAATAAGACTCTCCGTCACTGCCTTGCATACCTAATATTAGGACTATGCAGGCAGGAGTTCTGTGGAGCAGAAACTCCTCATTGCACTGGTGGAGATGTGTTCATGTGTACACAGCCACTAGAGACCAAAAACAACAGAAAAACTCATTGCAGCTGGTCTCAGCTGGCATCAGAAAGCATCTGAAGATGATTTAGAGGAGGGTTGCTAGAGTTAGGGTAATACGGTTAAGTTGCAGATGGACTTCATGATCTTTAAGGTCTTTTCCAACCTGAGCGATTCTATGATTCTACAATTCTACAAAGAAGCCATTCGATTTTAGAGCAATAAAATGGCCCTTTATTTCTGAGGAGAGCCTTATTCCATCCACGAGATGGGAACTGAGGTACTGCAAAAGGCCTCAAGCATCCTCATCACTTTTGGACAGTTGCGATTTCAGAAATGTTCTAGGAATGTTTAGAACAACTCAGTGGGAAGGGGCCTTCACTCAACGTCAAGTTCAATTGCTAATCAACAGTCAAAGCAATTACTGAGCACAGTGCCCAAATTCCCCTTGGCCTCTGACAGCTGTGTCACCTCTAGGAAGCCTGTTCCACAGTTTGACTGCCCTCATGGTGAAGAAATGCTTCCCAATGCCTGGTCTAATCCTGCCTAGATGCAGCTGTGTGCCATTCGTTTGTGTTCTGTCCCACCAGGGAGCTGAGCCCAGCACATCCCTCTGCTTCCCCTCAGGGAGCTGCAGAGCAGTGACCACTTCTCTGCCACCTCCACACAGGATAACCCAGGTCTGCCCACCTCTCCTCACATGGTGCCTCACATGCCTTCCAAACTTTCTACCAGCTTTCTTTTGCTGTCCTTCAGACTGTTTCATGGACCTTAACATAATTTCTTTATCGTAGAGCCCAGAAATGAACACAGTATTTGAGGCGAGGCTGCACCTTGAATCCATCAGTTTGTGGGAGAGGACTACTACATGGCAGACTTCCAGGGTGGTCCAGGCTGCATCCTGCAATACTGCTTTTTGTACATATTCCAGGTGTGGCAAAAAGGAATGGCAAGTTTGAAAATTGTTATGTAAACTATTTTGGGGGAAGCATTTTGCACACAATAAACTGCCTTGCACAGAGGTGCAGAGATGGCTTCAGAGCAGTAAGAATGAATTAAATTCTCTGTTAATTTCCCAGTCACACATTTTTTTTTTTTCTGGAAACTTGGTATTCTGATTTGAAAACCTTTTCAAGATGTTTAGCAGACTTTCACCTGTCAGCAGAGATTATGAAACAATGGCTATGGCCTTTCACTGTTTGCACATAAGATGATACTTTCAGAGTAGACCAGGTGCAGCTGACTGTGCCGGGTGGCAGGGATCCGTGACAGATCACGCTTTTACCCACAGCTTGTTTTTGTTGTACAAATACAATATGGTATGATTTCAGCCTGTCAAAATCCTAGCAAAGTCAAAATTAATTCTGTGTATGTGTGTATCTGCTATACTGCCAGATTCTAAGGGGAAGGTGGAAAAGGAGCTGAAAATGTGGTGTCAGAATTTTGATAAACAGGGCCTGTCTGCCATGAAAGCAATTGGAAAGAATGAGACCAAAAATCTTAGACTTGAATTTCATCCAAGGCTCATTTGGCAGCAAAGTGTGGCTTTAGCGAAGGCAGGAAAGTGACTGGAATCCACCACTTGACCAGGCTGACATTTGTTTACAGGAGCAGGCTCACAGCTGCTAGGAGACTTAGCAGTTTCTTACAGTAATCAGAGGATTGCTTTCATTAGCAGGCATTTTTAGCAAGCTCCACAACAGCTCTCACAGGGTTGGCTGATCACTGGATCTGCTACCCACAGGAACGTCTGGGTGCTGCACATTCCCTCTTACCGCTCACATTCACAGCTGGCATGTGGCTGCAGGAGCCTTTAGCTTCATCAAGGCAGTTGATTGGGCATCTTTATTTTTTTATTCCAAATTAAAATTGATGAGAAGACACCTCAAAGAAAGATGGAGAATATGGAGAATTCAGGATTATTTTTAATACTTTTTTTTTTTTTTTTTTTTTTTTTTAAGGATCAAGCTGATAAGTGATCAACTGTTCAGAAGAAGACACGAGATGTTCAGCACCGCCTACTGCAACATGTTGGTTCCCTCTCCAGAAGGCACTGAACACTGGCTTAACACAGGAAACAATGTCAGAACGCAGAGATTTACTGTGACACACAGAAATACCTGCTGACTGGCACAGCTTCTTAGTACAGCTCTCAGTTTTTGTTTTTTTTTCCAGTGGCTCTGATCACAGCAGCAATGGTTAGCATTTCTACAAGTATCACATAAATGTACGGATGTCAGAACGTGCAGAAAACATGCAAAATCTCAACAGCAACACCATCGAATGACACAATGCATAGAAATATTGTTTGGCAAAACAGTGAATCTTTTAACAGCCTTTTTATATAAAACAAAAGAATGTACTTTTTTTACAAACAGTTCTTTAAAAAGTTGAGTTTAGGCAGAGTTAGAAAAGTTGGCACGTGAAAGTTAGCCTTAGACACAGTTTAACTCTGAGAATCAATTTGTCATTTACAGGAATTCTCATGCTTTGCTAGCTGGTTATGTACTGCACTAGCTATGCTTAAGCAAAACATGCTTTTGAACTGCTATTTTGGGAGCGACAGCCCTAATCTTATCAATTTTCAGAATGGGAGAAACCACATTCATATTAAAAGATTAGAAAGATTAAACATTGCATGTGGGGAAAGATAAAAGCTTTACTTTAACTGTTTTTCCCTAACACTCCTCACCATGATAGCTGGGGTTGTCATAGCAAAAACATTTTTCAAAGGCAGAATTAAAGTCAGCAGATAATTAAAACAAATGGAAAAGATTTTCTAATTCCAGTGTAAAACAAAGGAAGATATTAAAGGATGGCTTAAAGACGAGGATTACGCTTGCCTTCTTTAGAAAAAAAACACAAAAACTTTTGTTGCATTTGCCAGGCTTTTCCGCTGCCTTTCCACTGCCTTCACTATACTCAGGTATTTTGCCATTTCTTTGTTTTATGTCTTGAGTAACTTCGTCTGATAGGTCTCGAGGTGACCCAGAAGTATGTGAGTCATGTAGGCACAGACAAGCCCAGACAACGAAGCAGTGGCTGGGTGATGTCCTCTCCTGCACGTTTCAGACCCATCTGTGACAACAAGGTGGGTAGAAACATGAGCTCCAGGGCTGCATTCCTCACTGAGCTCTGCAGGGCAGGCACTGAGCTCTGCCCACCAGCAGCACTTGGGCTTGTGGGCACTGCCATCCACTTCTCACTTCTCCCCATGCCAGCTTGTAGGCTCTTGTAACACATTCTGTGTCACAATTTGCCTGTATGTCTTGAGTGCTGCAGGTATTTCTGCTCTGCATTTCACACCCAGCCCTGGCAGAGCAGCCCAGCCTGGATGCAATGTAGTAGGAGGGAAGGAGGAATACTGGCAGGAGCAATGTGGCACTACTTAAGGCTACATGTGATTCAGGCCAGCTGAGAACACACTATAATGATGCAGAAGACAATCTCAGCAGGATCACAAGCCTTTACAAAGCAGATCAAATTCTAAGCATGAGGAACACTACAGAGTTTTCTCTGTTCACAAAAGGAACAGCTGAAATGGTGAAGATAGTGTCAGTAAAATTAATGTTAAGAGTTTATTTTTTCTAGAGTAAGAGTAATACAGTATTTGTAAAGAACATTTTATATTTTCTTGATTCTTTTCCCCTTGCTTGGCTGTTTCACTATTTGCATGATGTTTATGGACTGTACAGAACAGAGCTAGCCAAAAATCCCAACGGTTGGGAATCCCCAGGCAGCGTAAAAGTTAGCATCAGAGTTAGCATCTACCATACAAAATCCCAAACACTGTGAATAAATCTTCTATTAACTACAACAGATCAAATTAAAATCTGAAAGGGTACTAATTTTTTTCAGAGACCAGTGACTGCTGTGTAATGAGTGCTGAGCACCAGAATAAGAGAGAAGGTAGAAGTATTTAATCCCCTGGAAACAGTAGATCCATTTCCAATGCACAGACATTTAATGGCATTTGTATTAAAAAAAAAAAAAAAAATAGTTCATATTACCAACCAACATTACACAATTCAGTGAGAAAACATAGAAAATAAATTTCTGACTTGAGACATAAACTCTAGAGACTGTTAAAACCCACCAGTTCATGTAACAAGTAAATTTTGTGCCAAACCAATTTTTTCCCCGTCAGATTAGTAGTTAAAGCTTTAGACATCCCCATTACTCTGAATATATTCCAGTGGATGGCCATTGTCAGAATTTTCAACAAGCTCACAGACATCTCTAAGCTGTGGGGCTTTCCCACGCTGCGCTGCAGTCAGTGGCTCTCCGCTGGATTCAGAAGCGTTGAGGTGCTGGCAGACAACCTCGCAGAGCCTCAGCGACAGGTTGGAACCAGCACTCGGTTTCACTGGTGGAGCTGGCAGCCATGCAGCCACACCATTTCATGGCGCTTTGAGGAACCTGTCTTCTTCTGAAGGATCACTCCATTGCCAGCTAATGTTTTCCAGTAGAGCATCAGGGAGAACCAGCCTCCACCTTTGTGCTGGTGCTCAGCTTTCCAAAACCTATGCAGAGATACATTACAGCCCCATGTGCCAGTTGCATATGTCCATCATGCACACACGGACAGCACCATCATCACAGAATTGTGCTTATGGCCTTCCCCTGCTCAGCATGGAGAAGCACAGTTGCCTTACCTGGCTGGCCCAGGGCTCTGATTTTTCAGAGATGTGCTGTGACACCCACGCTGACCCTGCACAGGGCCATCAGACAGGTGGGAGATACCAGATGGTGTGCCAGTGCTCCTGGCTACAAAGCAGGCTCGGTGCATGGGGACCATCCCCAGAAAGTGCAGTCCCAGTTCTCCTGCTAGGAACATAGCCATGCTTTATGATGGACTGCCTTCTTTTCACACTCTTCCTCAGCAGAGCGTGCAGATTCAGCACTTACATGAAAGCATAGAAATAGAAGAAAATACATCCCCATTTTAAGAACAAGGACAGCAACTCACATTAGGCAAGACAACCATCTTGTTAATGCTAATGTTTAACAAAGAACCCTCATTAAAAGGTGCAGATCCACTGCCAGCCACACTTAATAGTGTACAGCTGAATCCCCACTAACCTAGCATGTCCTAGCTCATTTCAGGCAAATCAAACCTCAGCTCTGTGTCCCGTCAGCATTCCTCCTTCCCATACATTCAAATGGCCTTAGGGCATCAAGGAGGTCCTGCTTTCCTATTGTCCACTCTGCCTAAGACAAATTGATTTCCACTCTAGTGTCAGTCCAGGATGTACTATGGAGGAGGATCAGTCATCTCTACTTGGTTTAAAGACATCATTAGAAGGCCAGGCACAGGCACAAAACTGGCCCTCAGCACATTACTGAGTTTTATTCTCCTTCTATGATTTGAAAGCATTCCCACAAAAAGCAGAGAAGAAGGGAAAGGCAGAGTGTTGGGAGACAAGAGATGCAAGGCTCTGAATGATGATGTATCCCACAGACCACATGCACTCAAAGTGAGGCAGCCTGCCCTGAGCGCATTATCCCCAAAGCACAAGGTCACTTGATAGCAGGGAGGGAACTCTGGGCTGCCCTCCACAGAGCAGTCCCCTCTTTCCCTATGTCACAAACACCAGGAGAAAGGAATGTTAGAAGTACAGAGGGATGGAGAGAGGAACGCTGGGGATGGGGAAGACCAGTTGGTCAGCTGTAGTCACTTGCAGCTGATGGTAGGGAGAAATAACCAGCCCACACACCATGTCAGTCAATGCACTTATGGGATGTCCTCAGGCAGGGAGACAAAAAAGGGGTAAATACGAGCTGGGCAGGGAAGAAATGTAGAGTATACAGAATCTCAGTTCTCTTAGGGCTGCTCCAAGAACCCGGGCAGCCGAGGCTCTGCCATGACACAACAACTATTCTTCCTGATCCATGTCTTCATATCAAGCATCATTTGCACAACCTGTGGTGGAAGACAGTCACAAACAGGCAAGGAAGGGACAAGCAGCAATATAACTTGCTACTCAAATCTCATTTTCTACACTCCTACTAGTGATGAGCTGCTTCTAAAAATAAAAATAGAAAATAGCTTGAAAGCATTGATATTCTTCACAAAGGAGAATGTGCACCACTACTTTCATTGTTAGACTGTCCTATATTCCAACTGTACAGATGCTATCACAGAATTACTGCACTCTGCAAATGAATAAGGTATGTGCTGTTGTTTTAGATATGCTTCATAATTTAGTCTACAAGGTAGTTCAGAACAGTATTTCATTCTCCTGTACTTAAAAACACATTTGGTTGCATAAATTTGTATTTGAAAATTAAACAGGCGGTTTGCAAAACCCAGATATCGAGAATTTCAGCTTCAACTACTGTTTTATGAATAGAAGCACCCTGTGCAAGCCTACAGTGCCACAAATACATGCACAAGTAATAGTTTGGAAGGCAACCAACATAGCTGCAAACTACACAGAAGGTGTTGCCACTGCATTATCCCTGTGATGGGTTTCCAAAGCTGCAGTGCAGCCTTTAGACAGGGAACATCCTCCTCTGCCTCTCCCACTGGAGCTGCAAATCAATTTTTGAGCAAAATCAAGTCAGTAATTTGGCAGAGAACTATCTCTATTTCCCCCTTTGTGCTATGTTTTCTGGTGGGCTAGTGAGCTGAAGAGGTTGGACCTCATTGATGAGGTCCAACACCAGATCAGAGAAGGCTGAAAGTCATGAAAATAGGAGGGGAAAGAGAGAGAAGAAAGAAGCACTGTCATCTGCCTGCAGGGGATCTCTGCATGTGACCCACCCAGCCACCACCTCATGAGCTATGCTGTATAGGAGCCGAGTGGTGATCTGAGAGCTGGCCTCATGATGTCATGGTAAGAAGTAGTGAAGTATCAAGAGTTATGGTAGGACACACCAGACCCTAGGCAGAGACAAAGGCTTGCAGATCAGGTATTAAGAAGAAATTCTTTACTCAAAAGGTAGTGAGGCCCTGGCAGAGTTGCCCAGAGAAGCCGTGGTTGGCCAGATTGGCTGGGGACTGGGGCAGCCTGATCTAGCAGTCAGCAACCCTGCTCAAAGAGCGAGCACTAGACTAGATTATCTTTAAGGCTTCTTCCAAGTCAAGCTATTCTATGACTCTATGATTGTAAGAGCGCAGCACTACCCCCTGACCATTTCCCTATGGCTTTTTACTGGGGCAGATCCACACCATGATGGTAAGCATGAAACTTACTGGTGAGCAGGTTCTGACACCCTCAAAACACAGGGGGACAACAGCAAGCAAATGGGGTGTCATCTGTCAGCAACAACATGGCAGCTGGGACACTACACTCCTGCCAAGCAGACACAAAACTATGACAGAGTTTTAAATCAGAAGTCTCCCTCCCCGTGGGTTAATGACACTCTCAAGGGTTTAATACAGATCATAATTAATTAGGCTGTCATCACTCAATTCTGTGCAAATGTTTGCAAATGAAGACTGGGTAATATGGGGTGCTAAATGCCATTCAAAAATAACATACCTACTTTTGGAGTATGATATTACTTCAGTATCATATTTTGGCCATATGTGCTTAACTGCTTCTAGAAGTAGTCTATTTGGGGATGCCCGATCAGAATTTGCCAGGCAATCTGCCATCAGCATCACTATAGGCTGGAGTTACTACAGATGTCACAAAGCAGAGAAAACACAGCTCTATAATGCTGAGGCTCCTGCAATGAGAACACATAATTCAACTTTACTGCCTAACCAGACACACAACAGTTGCTCACATGCAACATTATCAGAGACACTGCCTCGGCACAGCAAGATACAAATCACCTAAAACTGAAGAAAGCAACTCTGTATATGGACAGTGGAGCTGGAGACAAGGTCAAGATCTGTGCTGGGGCTGAATTACAGTGTAGATGTGAATCAGAACATTACAGACCACATGCAGCACTGCACATCTGCAGACAGTGATCTGCCTTCTCAAAGACAAGAAAATGTGTGGGATTACCACAGTTATTAGTCCACATAAAACAGCCCACTGTGAAGCAATAAACCCTAACCAGAGAAACTGTTTATTACTACCAAGTTTGGTTTCATGTTCTGTGGGGTCTGAGAAGGGACAGCAGACAGCCACATCATGGGGTAGTTTTTTGTACTATAAGGCAAGTCTTCACAGCAAAGAGGAGGAAAGATGTGATGCTGAAATGTGCTGCTCCACAAAGGCCATCAGGTACCTGGCTTTGTACTGTGGCAGAGGAAAGGAAGATGGGTCAGGTCCTTCAATAGTTAAGAGGTGAGCAAAGGGGGAAATTGAGAGCAAAACCCTTCCTAGCAGCTCCCTTGTGGAGCTCTACAGAACATCATGAATGAGTTCTCTAGCATGACACCCCAGCACTCACTGCATACAGAGACCATGACTTGAGTACTCAGCAGCAAACAGCAATGAAACCCTACAGAGAGCAACATCAGCCTTGCAAAATTATTTTCACTTGTATCACATGTAAAGCATTGCTATGAAAAGACAAGGCTGTGCCCGCAGCAATCAATTGGCTAGCCTCATCTGGAAGCAAAGCAGCAGATGTCTGTGTTTCCCTCTCCTTCATCTTCACCAGATTTGCCATGGCAAAACAGTCACAGGTACTTGCAGTTACTTCACAAGTGCCAACACTTTGTTTCAAGCCTCAGAACCAAGCCACAAAAGCACAGCTTTGCAATTTGAGTGCCTGTCACACCAATGCCAACCTTGCAGCAATAAAAGACAGTACTCTCAGGGGTTGCAGATATGATTACCCTGTCTTGACGTGCCAGATCCTTGGGCAGCCAGCACACAGAGCACCAAGGCTTTATACTAGCTCTGCTGTGCAGAGCACTAAGCAATCATTCAGGCTCTGTCACCTGCACTAAGCTTCCTAGGAGGACAGATGTTCATTAAAGAGGAAATCTCTGCTCCCAAATCTTCTGTGGGACATCTGCTAACCACTCCCTGTCCAAAACAGACCTCCAGGATTAAGTGAGACACAGGTGTTCTGCCACCTCCTTCATGCACAGGAATACACACCTCATCCCAGCCAACACTGAAAACAAGCTTTAAATGGCATCAGGTGGGATAATTTATATCTTTCTGCTACTGTTTCACTTTTTAAATTAGTGATGACTGAAGTTACTGCACAGTTGCAGACTTAAACTACATGAAAGAAAGGAAGGAAAGTAAAGAAATAAAACCAATGAAGTTTAAAGAAAGACAAAAGTAAAAAGAAAAGTCCTCAGTAACAGTTTGATGGGATGTGAGCTGAAGCTGAGTCTTTCATGGACTTTGGAGGACACCATATCATGTCAGGAGGCTTGTCTATAGATTTACCAAGTCTCTATGGTATGCTAGTGGAACGTTTCCATCTGTAACGCTGAATGAGCTAAGCTGAATTACTAATGAGGTACCATACATCATTTTAAAAGTCAAGAATTGTAATGGTTCACTGACACACTTAATTTGTTAGTGTATTCCCTGTACTCATAGAACAGTTATGCTACAAAATCAAATACTGGAACATTAGCATTCATTATTTCAAGGATTTAAAAGACCAAATTCTTCCCTAAGAATTACGCACATAATTTCCATTGTCTGCAATGAAAACAGATTACACGTAGGTGATTTTGATTTGTTTTCCAGTGCTTAAAACTACTCATCTTTTTAATCTTCTGTAGAAAATATGAAACTATCTTTATGCTCCCTATGTTATTTTTTTGTGGATTTTGAATAATGGCTTAGGACAGATTTGATGCATTTTATCTAGATGGTTTGGGATAAGATAATGGATTTTTCTGCACACCTACATCCCCAAGAGTACTGAAAGAGTGGATCAAAGTCAGTAGATTTTACATTAAGAGTACACAGTGACAAAACATTAATGACCAGTGCTTAAACAGTTAAAATTATGTATACGACTGTTTTTGCAAACATACCTCTGCTTACTGTTGAAAACAATACTTTTCAGTCTAAAGACCAGTAATATTCTGATAACAGAAAATCAACAAAAACAAAAGTTAAAAATAGCCTTTTGCTGACTTTGGGATTTTTTTTTTTCCATCTGGCACAAATGAGCCTCAGGAAACAAACAAACATCAACAGCAATAAAAAAATGACAAACAAAACCAAATCAAAACAACAACAACAAAAAAACAACAAGAAAACTTCTTGTAAATAGTTTCACAGACTTACATTGATGCATCTCTTATCTCCTCGTATTTCTGATCAAGAACAAGTCAGCAGGTAAGAAGCAGCAGCCAGTGGTAGATTTGCCTCCTCCACTCTAGGAGGCCATGTTAAAACAAGAAGTCGAAAAAACAGAATTGCTACGTAAGCCTCCCTGGGGAATTACAGTCACTGATGTGTGCATGTTAAAAAGGGTATTTCCAGTCTATCTTGTGTTGCCTGAGAACCATTTTTGTCCTTTTAAAATCTGCAATTATATTATAACCCACAAGTAACATTCATTTTTGTATTAACACTATAAATACTATGTTAGTATTACTAAACTATCTCTATTGACTTATCTGTAAAAAGAAAAATATATTATATATTTTTATATTTTTATAAAGTGAATTAACACTGGAGAGAGGGCTATGGGAGAGTAGTGTACAATCACAGTTGATGTGAATTACTGAACACAAACTCAACGTTTGAAACAAAACAGAAGAGAGAAATCTGTCCAGGTTATACCCCTTTTTCAAGCTGTGTCAGAGGAAGAGTCATATGATGCTGACACTATGAAGTTGCCAGTATTGGTATGGCTTGCCATAGATTGGGCAGCCTGCTGGCTCAAGTTATTGCAGATCAGCACAAGCTGGTTGCTCTGAGCTTCTGACAATGTGCTACAGCTCTGGTAGACACTGAAGTTGGTCTTCCTGCCAGGGATGTTGCCCTTCTCGCACATTGTCTTTACCATCTTGGCAAGCTTATTTTTCCCCAGAGCTTGGCAATTGTACCAATGAAGGGCAGCCAAGTTGACAACAGGTTTGATTGACAGGTAAAAAGGTGCATCCTCATAGCGCATGGCTGGAGGCCGCCTCTGGGCGTACTCCTTGTAGTCTTGCACAGGACAGGTCTGTGGGGAGTGCTGAGTGGCATACACCCGAGAGTCTGTCCCACCTCTCTTGCTCTTGGCATTGATATCTCCATTGTCTGGTCCCATCCACTCCAGGTACTCCAACCCAGTCTCTGTCACCCGCAGCCGGATGTCTCCCCATTTGAGGGTGGACCCATGAAAACCTGTGCAGTGTCCAAATGCCTTAGTGTTGTTCAGCCAGACAAGGTTCAAGAGCCCTTCAGGATTGTACCTGCTCAACAAACCTCTTTTGCGCAGGATAAGCTCGTCAGCAAAGGTGAGCTTCATGGACTTGTGTGGTTTGTTTCCTTTACCTTTACACCTCAGCTCTATCTGCTTTTGTTTTAGGGCTTCTTGGGACCTCTTGAACTCCTTATCCCTGGTAATACTGTATCCATACCTGTGCTCCTTCAGATAACGCTCCAGCCCACACTGATAGTTGGCCAGACTGTTTGGCTCGTATTCAGACCCATCCTTCTGCCTGGCATCCACAAAGAACGAAGCAAGGTAGGCATCGAGCTCTTTGCAGGGGATGACATAGATCTCTCGGGTCTCAGAGGGATACTTAGAGATGAGGAACTCCCGGAAATTGCGGAGAGCTGTCTGTGTGCTGCGAATGGTCTTCTCGTTCTGCTCCCTGCTGAGCTCTGCTGCTCTCTCATCCTGGTCTGGAAGAGGGAGAAGGAAAAAGACAAAACAAAGCAGAAGAAGCAGTGAGCCTCTGTGAAAGGTTTTTCCCAAAGTAAATTTCCTTTAAAAGAATGAACAAAAAGAAATGAAAATGAATTTCACAAAGCACACTTGAAAACATCATTACATACTTGCCACATGACCGAAAAGTCAACTTCAGTTCTACAAATGATGTAACTGGAATACGGCAAAGTGAACTCTTCATGACACTGGGATACAATTTTGTGCACAGAGATCTGGGGAAAGCAGTTTAATTAGAGGCAATCTGCTTTCCAGAACAAATGCAAGGCGTTTCGATGGACTCCAGTGCCACATGCTGAGCCCAATCTGAGTAATGAGCCCATTGTGAACTGACTCATTTGTGAAACAAGGGGCTGTACTCATTCTGACATTTTTCCACAAAGAATAACCAAAGCCTTAAATTTATGATATTACAATTATTTTTAATTAGACAAATTTCTAAAGAGCCAGTAAGTATAGATAGAAATGCACACTACAAAATTATGCATCACATCCTAAGAAAGAAGTTAGAAGGTACAACACAGTGATGTGTAATTTACAAATACAAAAGAATAAAAAATAATGTAATACTTTACATTAGAAAATATCAAAACTGTCAGCACTTAACATGTTTATACAGTTTCTTTACATAATCAAGCAGTTCCTGGACAGATGTAGTGCAATCGTGAATATTTCTTCTCATTCTGAGAAAAAAAATCAGATTCAGGAAAGAACTTTATATTGCTCCATAAAGCTATATTCAAAGGTCCTTGCAAGTGGTACAACATCAAACTACAGCATCCAGATGTGACTCAAAAGATGATTCTTAATGACAAACTATTTTCAGGCTGGTCATAAGCATGAAATGAAAAGCTTTTTACATGGAAGTGATGCGTGTACTTACAGACTGTTTTATTGGCATGTGGAAACTGTCTTCAGAAGTATGCAATTTATAAGCACATAGGCAGAACTGTCATTATGGATAAGATAAGCCTTAATGGTTTTAGAAAATGATGAGCAGTATGTGTGAAGAAGGAAAATTCCAATGATTTGACTATTTTCTGTACTTGTAAATGGAACATTCATTTTTCCTCAGTTATCAAAAAGAGGGAAAACAGAGAGACCTTTTTTGCTCTATCTCATTGCAAAAATCACATGCATTTTGTTGTCTTTTCTCTACTACACTTACAGCAACAGGGCATTTACCTGTTATCTCCCACCCTACATACACACCACAAAGTCATACGGGGCCTGGCAAAATTCCCACCACCTCTCCGTTCAGAAGCCAAGCTCATGGGCAGCCATGCTCTGCAGCAGTGCTTGTGTCTGCTGCTCCTGCCCACTCTGTCTTGTCTAGCTGGGTGGCTTCCCTTTCCACTCATCTAAAGGAACAGCATCCAGGCCTGCAGAGCATTTCGCTCCTCACCTCCACACAGACAGAGGCACTGAGAGTGGCTTGCAACTCTTGCCCTCTGTCCTCAATGATAGGTGCCCACTGCACCCACAGCACTCAGTGAAACCTGCTGTGCTGGATCCTCAGGCCCTTGGCAAAGCACAAAGAACTGAAGGTCTGCAGCTGAGGCCTTTTGGGGGTTTCTGCAGCCATGTAAAATGTTGCCACAGGGCACTGAGGTTTGCTTTAACTGTGCTCAGGGAGCAAATGTAACCAGTCTATTTTAAAAACTGGTTTTAATTTTCATGTCAGCATCGAAGAGCTACAAGCAGCCCTCAGTGAAGTCTCATGCTTCAAGCAATGAATAGCACAGATCCTTTTACTATGGCTAGCTACAGGCTGGAAATGAAGAGCTAATGCTGTTTGAAGTGCAGAAGCAAAACATTTACCCTGATACCTTGTTCACTGCACCCACCACCACTTATTATAGCACTGTGTAAGTAAGCTGTTCTTTGATTGACAGCCCACATTTTAAGTACTGTTGCAAGATAAAAGGCACGTACAGTGGTTTGGTTATATACATGTCATCAATCACTATTTCTTTCAGAATGTCCTGTCACAACACAGCAGTGACACTCAGTCATTTACATTTTGGCATCTTTCCTTAAACTGCAAAGGAAATTGCTGTATCTCCAGATAGCAGTTATAAAACCCATGTTCAATAAAGATCCCCTGAAGTTGTATGAAACACTGCATTTCTGCAGTGCTCTGATGTGTTACATCAAGGCAGGAGGAAAATCTTAAACAAAATGTGTCAGGTTATCTACCAGCCAAATCAGGACCGCTAGGCCAGTCTGACTGGGAATCTAGTCTGGAATTGTAGTGAATTATTCTCTTACTCTGGGAGAGTTCAAATATCATAGATATCTCAAAGCATGGGACTAATGCAGTGAGACAGTGAGACTCAGACTGTCTGAGACAACCAAAGTTACTAGATGTCAAGTGAGCCACAGCCATGATCTGCATGTGCTTTTTACCTACAGCAAAAGCAGATGATTTTGATGAGCCTACTTAACTTAGAAAATGTTTACAGCCTAGAACAACTTAGGAAGGGGACATAACTCTTCATGTCATCAAATTCTTACTTCCTTATTTAACCAAAGAGAAGTCATTGTATTGAAAGACAATCTGTCCCCAGACCATACAGTTCAGCCACCACGGAGACTTAAATTGTATCCAAACACCCTTTTACTGTCACAAACTGTGATTTTTGCTAATTGCATTATTTCATTCTCTATTATTGTTGTGATTGACCATGGTCAGCAATCACCACACAGTCACTTGCTCTCTCCCCACACTCAGCAGGGCAGAGAAGAGCAAAAAGAAGAAAACATCAGAGCTGAGGCAAATCTGAATAAGTAAAGGAAAGAGAAAAGAAACAATCCAACATGCAATGCAAAGGCAATCACTCACCACCTCTCATAATGTTCAGTCAGATTCCGAGCAATGCCTACTTCCCACAGAAAAAATTTTTTTTTTACTGTTTATTGTTAAGCATGATGTAGTATGGCACAGAATATCCCTTTGGTCAGTGGGGGTCAGCCCCCTCCCAACCTCTTGCCAAACTCAGCCTAGTTGGTTGGGATACAGAGTGGGAAAAAGAAAAAGCCTTAATGGTGTGCAGTACTACTCAGCAATAGTCAAAACACTGGTCTGTTACTAATACTGTAGTAGCCACAGATCCAAAATGCAGCACATTATGGGCTGCTGTGAGAGTTATCTCCATCCCAGTGAAACCCAGAAAAGCCGTGCCGTTTGATCACTAATCAAACTATGGCCCAAGATCAGGCTTTTCTTGCATCCCTTCCACACAACCTGTGACTGGACAAGGAGACCATGAAAAATATTATCGGAGTGCAGTCTGCTAATGGCTCTTTCAAAATATTTACAATAAGCCCTTCTACTATACACATTTCCTTTGGGAAAATTCTGTGAAAGAAAACCAATGCCCTCTACAGTGTGGGTATTTGGCACTGTTTCTGCTCTAGCCACGTGCCCTTGGTAGCATGTGAGAGGGATATTATGTTGGTGTAATGGCATTTTATTCCTTAAAAATCTATATGAATTGTTTGGTAAAGAAAGCCTAAATATAATGGAATTCATTCATTAAGAATTCAAGACTAAAAGGCATTTCAGCTGTTATCACAGTGAATTTTTGAAAATACATAAGCTGGGAGAACTGTTGAGATATAGGATCTCATCTCTGGGCTCGGAGATTGAAAGTGAATGCCCTTTCTGATATAGGAGTATTTTCAGTAAAGCAGTTCCCAAATGTTTGCTTGGTCTCACCTTGCTGCATCTTGCAGAATAGAGATGAAAAACTCATCTGGCCAAAGCTGAACCTTTTGGGAATTTTAGCTACTGAAAACACAGGTGGAAATACACAGTAGTCCCCTGATGACTGCAAAATACACCTGCTTGCTCTTAGGTGTCCACTGCTCACATTATTACGAACTCTTTATTGTGCGTGGGTTCAAAACCTGGGTAAAAGTACAGAAGACTATTATAAAGTGCTCCTCAACACAAGACAGTATTTCCAAACTGGAAAGGTGCTTGAGCTGTAAATTGGTGGAGGATGGAACAATGGGAAGATAACACGTATGCTTTCATCTCTTCTTGTATTCTTAGGTATGTGCATGTTGTTAGGGTCTAGGGAAAATGTATATTCTCATATTATGATCTAAACTGTTTTGGATAGTAAAACAGAACCAATGAACCGAAATTTATTGTTCTCAACAAACTACCAAACCAAGCTAAACCAAATAGTTTTTCCTTGCAATATCAAAATGTTAGGAGTTAGTAGTGCTGTTCCCCATTATGCTGACCAGGGAAAGAAATTTACAAAAAAGGTGACTTGGAGATGCATCTCATGAGGTCCTGCTCACAGTTGCATAGTACACAAAACATGTGATCCACACATCTGTAATTCCTGTCTCACTCCACATCAGTGTTTCATTTCCAGGAAAACCAGAACATCAGAAAAGGCAGTAAATCTCACCTTACTGTTGGATTGGGGTAATCACCCAGCTGAGAGTAAGAAGGACTGCTTGAGTAGTTTAAATGTTCAACTTAAAAGTAGACAAAGAGACAAAGTGACTTGGCAGAGACTACACAGATCCAGTGGGAGCTGAGTGTCTCTGGCTAGCCCACAACCATGAGATGATCCTTCCCACACAGCAACAGCTGCAGTCTGATCTTTCATAATCTGATCTTACTACAGCCAAGACTTAACATTATCAACTGAGTTATCAAACATAGGGTTGTTTTTATTTCAGCTCACACACTTAGACAAACTCAGACTTACCAGAACATAACCTCCTCTGTAATTATGTACAGTGGGGGTAAAACACTTGCTTTTGTCGTTCACATCAAAATGATGCTTGTTGTTAATATTCAGAGAAGATTTGTAACGTTAGTGGGAGTTGTAAACCTGAGCTATTACTGCACACAGCCTCAAATTCTGCATAAGGATGTCAACAAGATCTCCAGTAAAAAAGGTTTTTTGGATGGCAGTCACACTACTAG